TGCAGCCAAGGGTGAGAACCCTTCGTCTAATATTACCATCTCACAAGCTGCTGGCTAATTTGTTAAATTCCCAGGGAAACCCCAATGAAAGCTCTCTGAGTTTGGGCTCGCCCAGGTCCAAACAGGAAGACCAGTGCTCAGGCCATCTGTTTGCTTTGGACAAAACTCAGATCCAGTGACCTTAATGGAACCCACCCTTCGAAATACTCAGAAGTAATGAGTACTCTCTGGGTGAATCCTGCTATCATTATCAGGATGCAAAATGTGGATGCAAAAGGACAATTTTTAATTCATGCAAACATTTGAAGATTTCTCTTAAAATTCTTTACAGTTACAACTTGCTGAACACTCTTTGTTTCATGTGGGAGTAAAAATCTCTGGGGATGGGCCAGAAATGTCTGAGATGTACTTGTATGGGTGCTACAGGGACTCTCCGTATCTAGTATGAACATGGAATTGTACTGAAATGTTTTATAAAAGGCTGGTGCCACGTGGAGCAGATCTTGCTGAACCTGTTATCAAACCATATGGATTGAGAAATGGGGCTAGGCTTAAAGTTTTTCAAGTCTCTGATGATGCTTGACATTCATTTAATGATTATATTTGCTGACATTCTCTTCTGGATTTTGCCAAGTTAAGCCATTGCATCACTGAGAAAGTGATTTATCTAGAGGTATTTAATAATTTCAGTTCATTGCTGAAGTGGCCTTTGATTTAAAAAAAATGATATATGTGTCTCCAAAATTAAGAGTTAAAAGGAGATTTTAAGCAAGAATATTTAAACCTTGTACCTGTCTGTATTGTCCCATTCCTAGTCAGTGTCTTCTGATCCTTAGTGGAGTCTGTTTGAGGTGCCAGTTCTCCTGGGCCTGTGATTTGTTTTTTAGCTCTTCTGGAGGAAGATTTTGATTTTTTTTCTTTTCAGTTAGTTTATACTAAGTGAATCAGTAATCCTAAGTGAATCAGTAATCAAGTGATCTAGATAAGAAGATTTTCAAAGCCTTTATGTTTTGGAGACAGTTTCAGGGTTTTTGGGCTAGAAATCAAAGAGAAGAACACAAAAAGATTCTAAATTTGGGGCAACACTTTAGTCTGAATGGATGGTTTAGTATGAGAGGAGTCATCTCAGGGAGAAAATAGGGAAACTGGATTAATAAATTCTTGTATTTAATTAAAACAGGAAAGAAATGAGGAAAGTGACATGTCAATTAGCTTGATTGTAGCAATCATTTTGTTATGTATATTTTTATCAAAATATGCTGTACACCTTACATATACATAACATATTTAAAATAAAAAGAACACACATAGAGTAGAAGAGTGCAATCAGAATCAGACATCTCTTTATGATCTTTTTGAAAAACATTATTGCTATTCTCCATCACCACCTCATGGATATGCTTTTTTCCTTGTGTCATTTTGCTCTTGGCTAGCTTATGGGACAATTCATTCTGCTCTCTCAGTCACCAGCTTTTAGAATAGATTATAATGCTCATTTCTGCTAAAAGAACCAAGAGTCACTGGAAAGCGGTGTGTTTCCAGCAAGATACTTCAAGATGTGCCTCGGGTAGCTTATTAACACAAAACAAGGGTACTTGTCAGAAGTACAGGGTTGGGGGAAATAGTAAAAGGCTAACGGTCAGCCTGAATGTAGGGTCTCTAGTGACCAAGTCCCATCAAAAAGAATACAATGACGGCAGCTATTGCAATTTGTTACTCTGAACAGCTATAAATGTCTAAAGGGGCTCAAAAGGAAGGAACACATAATAAAAAGTGTGCCATGTGAAAGGTATATCCACCAAGGTAACTCAATTGACTGATGGTCTCTACCTCACAGAGATCCAACAAGAGGGAAATCATTTATTTTGTAAAAAAAACAAAAAAAAACACACACACACACACAAAAAAAAAAAACAAAAACAGAGCATTGATTTATTTGATGCACTGTCTTCCTTGTGGGAGGTGGTTTGAGCAGTTCTTGCACCCATAGTGACAGGTTTTGCGATCAAGGCTGCTCATGGTCAATGTATCCCATTGTTCGGGACTAGGCACCCCTTCCCTCAAGTGCTGGGAATGTTGGAGGCAGACAGCTTGCTGAAGGGAGCTGCCTGGCTCGGGATCTCCCTCTAGGGTGGTCGTTCCCATTTATCATCACAGAAGGCTCCACAACCCTGCCCTCTGTGAGGAATGCTTCTGAAGGGCCCTCCTGTCCAGAGCTCCCTGTGGGATCCACTGAGACCTTGGCTGGGACTGCATCACAATTTACCTGGTCTCATTTTGCTCCCTTCGCTTCCTCACAGGTGTATGGGTGTTGCTTCCAGGAGCACACTGCAAAAATCTTTCTGCTCTCACACCTCCATCTCAGAGTCTGCTTCCTATATATAATTATGTTCTGCTTGAAATATAAGAAATGCTTAAAAAAAAAGTGACTAGCCCTGCTAGGTTGCTAGAACAAAAATATTGGCACAGAGGAGAAAATAGATGGCAAAGCTGAAGGCTAAGCCTGCCAAGGGATGCCACACCTGAGAAATTTACATTTGACTCACCCTCTGTCCCAGTACATATACTGAAATGTGCTGATCTATTATGCACCAGTTACCTACACCTGGGAAACAGGCAGATTGGTGATAACAGCTTCTAGAGCAGACTGGCTGGTGTCAGGGAGGAGCTGTGGGGATCCTCATGAGAATGGCCAAGAAGAACTTGCTTTTCTAATCCCAGTCTCCCATTTCATCATCAGCTCCTACTAGACTCAACTGTTTCTAGATCCTTTGCCATTTAAGGACCTGTACATCCTCAAAACTGTATGTGTGTATATCTTTTTGCTATATACAACCTTGCCATTGTGATGGGCATGCCACTACCATTCTCATGTCTGGCCAAAGAAGTTGGGTTACCCTGGTTTCTTCCCTTTATCTAATTTTCTCTACACACAGTCACCAAGACTTGTTGATTCTATCTCCTAAATATCTCTATAATTCCCTTTTCTTCATTCCATCTATCTTTTCCCCAGTTTAAGTACAAATATCTCTTTCTTAAACTATTTTAAGGCCTTTTAATTTGTCACATTGCTTCTAGTTTTGCATTAGAATTCCATCTCTTACATCTATTAAATTCTCTAAAGGTTTTCATTCTCTTCTCTCCCTTCTTTTTTTTCTATAGACCTTCCTTGGGAGATCTCATCTACTTCTGTGGCTTTGATTAATGTTGATATGCTCAAGATATGCTGAAAATGCCACAATATCCATCTGAGACTTTTCTCCAGGGGTCTAGGCCTTTATATCTAATACTAGTTCTCAACCTGGCAAAAAGGAATTGACCATTTTCCTCTCCAACTGGATCTTCCTCCCCTATTCCCCATTTCAATGAATACCATAACCTTCTTCCCACCCAGCTTCCCAAGGCATAGACCTGAATGTGGTCTTTGATTTGTCCATCTCCCTAATTCCCTAAGTCAAGTCAATCATCCTTATTAACTCCATCTTCTTTAACATCTCTTGGCCTTATCTCTTATCACCATTCCTATTACAACTACCCTAGTCTTACTCCAGATCTCATCTAGCTTTTTAAATTTATTTTATTTATTTTTTTAAAAATATTTTGTTTATTCATGAGAGTCACACAGAGGGAGGCAGAGAGAAGGCAGAGGGAGAAACAGGCTCCTTGTGGGGAGCCCCATTCAGGACTTGATCCTGGGACCCTGGGATCACGACCTGAGCCCAAGGCAGATGCTCAACCACTGAGCCACCCAAGTGCCCCTAGCTTTTTTGAATTTGAGCTGGATTTCTGCATCAGCCTCTTAACTGGTTTTTTGGTCTGTTCTGTCCTCCTGCAATCCTTTTTTTCATAGGCCAGTGAACATGGTCTTTCTAATCTGCAAATCTGCATTCCTCTGCCCGAATTCCTTTAATGCCTACCCATTGTCCTTACAATAAATATCTCTGGCTTATAAAAACCCATTATAGTCTGGTCTCTACTTGCCTCTCAAACAATCTTTCTCCCCACATACTCCCACTGTCACTCACAATAGTCTAGTCATTGGAATTTCTCAGTTCCTTGAATGTACAATGCTTTCTCTTACCTCTTTCACACCATGTTTTCTTTCCCTATGGTTCTTTGCTAAGATGTGTTCAAGGCTCCATCATGTGGAGTGATCCATGCCCATAATCATCATAATATCATAATATTTCAGAGCAATTTTTAGAAAAAAAGAATTTGGGGCATCATAAATCATATGAACCGATTTGGAAAACATGTTAGGAAAATACAGGTTCTTTGCAGATCTCTGAATATTTTCCAGGTTGTCCTGATAACTCTATGTGAAAAGAGGATGCTGTAGACTTTTATGAGTTAGCTATCAAAAGTATCTAGATAGTAGTTCTAAATTGAGGTTTTTTGCACTTCCTGACACATTTGACAATGTTTGGAGAAATGTTTGATTGCCATGTCATGTCAAATGTTACGGTTAAAAACCTTACAGTGCAAACAGGGCAGTCTTCCACATCAAAGAATTATCCAATCCAAAATGTCATTGATACCAAAGTTGAGAAACCATGACCTAAATGAAAATAAAATTTCATATTCCACTCAGGCACACTTTTCTATTTTAGGATAGAACATAAATAATACTCATTTTGCAACAAGAAGATCATAGTATAGTCCTAGCCAAAAGCCTCTGCTCTTATATTTTGATTTATTCATCTTTAAAATGGCATTTTAATACTTGTCTCATGGAACTGTTATAAAAATTAAATATGATAATGTATGAGAAAACCCTTAGTTCAGTGTCTGGCAAGTAGTAGTTGCTCAATAAAATGTTTATTAAAAAAAATAAGTCTGACACATGGGGGATGGGGCTTATGGGGTGGAGATGAGTAGATTTTACCCTGAATGGTCCCAGTGCCTCACTCTTTTTAGGTCTGTACATGCATCACCACTTCTGAGAACACTTAAGAAAAGAATATGCATTGACAAAGATCCAAGGAGATACACATACATACTTTTTGTTCTTCTCGTTCTACAGCTGCATTACACTTTTCTATTCCCCAGCTCCTCAAAAAGTCTCTGAGATAGCCAAATAGAGTTCCAAGTCCATATCCCAAGTAAGTGAAAACCATAACGTGAAGGGGTGCTTCTTCAAAGGATTCAGCAATTGGCTTATCGTAAAAATGTGGCTTCCCATTTTGCTGAAAACACAAAAGAAAATAGAAGGTTAGTTCTCTTCCATTATGATAAAATATATACTTAAAATTTTGGACTTTCAAACTTTTAAAGAACATAAAAAAGTGCTTAGAGAAAGGTAGAAAGTGATCATGAAGGTGGTAATCAGAAAGGTACATTTTATTTTACAATCCCCTCCAAAATAATTGATTTTGGCAAAAATTCTCACAGATGCTAAATCCATTAAGTGAAAAGTTAATGAGAAATACATTTTTTTTTGCAAGATGCCAACGTACCACCCCATATGTTACTCCCTAATAACAAATCTGAGGTTACTACTTTGATTGGGTGATCAAATTCCATCACCAATGTTGGAACAAGAGCATCCGTGCTCTTATCATGATGTAATATTCAATATACTAATGACCTGAACTTAGTCAAGTTTTTATATCTAACTTCCATTTCACAAGAAACATCAGGATAAGGGAATGTGGCAGATGACTTTATGAGGAAACAATCAGATAATCCACAATGTATACAACAAAGGAAATTATCAATGAAATGAAAAAGCAACTGATGGAATGAGAGAAAATATCTGCTAACCAAATATATGATAAGGGGTTAGTATCTAAAATAAAGAACTCATACAACTAAAAAACCCTCATATAACCTGATTTAAAATGGTGTTATTCTGTATGTTGGCAAATTGAACACAAATAAAAAATAAATTTATTATTAAAAAAATATTAAAAAAATAAAAATTAGCAATGTCCTGAATAGACATTTTCCCAGAGAAGACCTACAAATGGCCAACAGGTGTATGAAAAGGTATTCAACATCATTAATCATCAGGGAAATGCACTGAGAAACCACAATGAGATACTACCTTACACCTATTAAGGTATGGGTACTATCAAAAAGGCAAAAGATAAAAAATGTGGATGAAGATGTAGAGTAAAAGGCAACCCTGTACACTGTTGGTGAGAATGTAAATTGGTACAACCATCATGAAAATGTACAACCCACTGAGGTTTCTCAAAAATTAAAAAAAAAAATTTGAACCACCACACGATCCAGCAATCCTACTTCTGGATATATACCCATAGGAAATGAAATCAGTGTCTTGAAGAGATATCTGCACCTCCAGGTTCATTGTATCCTTATTCATAATAACCAAGATATAGAAATAATCTAAGTGTCTGTAGATGGATGAACGAATAAAGAATATAAAATATTGTAGAATATTATTTGGCCACACAAAAGAAGGAAATCTGGTATTTGCAACAACATAGATAAATTTGGACTACATTATGCTAAATGAAATAAGCCAGGCACAAAAAGACAAATACTACATGATCTCATTCATATGTAGAATCTAAAAAAAGCTCAACTCACAGAAACAGAGGGTAGAATGGTAGTTACCAAGGTCAGCAAGTAGAGGAAATAGGGAGATGTTGGCCAAAGTATGTAAGTCTTTGGTTATAAGATGAGTAAATTCTGGGACCTAATGTACATCATGGTTCCTACAGTCAATAATACTGTATAGTATATTTGAAATTTGATAAGACATATATCTAAAGTGTTCTCACCATACACAGAAAATGATAACTTGTGAGGTGATGGATATATTAATTAGCTTGGCTGTGGTAATAATTTCACAATGTTTACATATATCAAATAGCATTGCATGTCTTGAATATATACATTTTTATTTCTTAATTATACCTCAATAAAGCTGGACAAAAGAAAAAAAAGAATAAAGGGTAGGTGGTAGAGGGGACTTAAAAGATACAACTTAATGCAGTGTGTGTTCTTTCATGGATCCTGTTTTTTTGTTGATGTACAAACTGAGTTAAAAAATACATATTTTGAACAACTGCATAAATCCAAATGTGGACTGGATATGTATCTTATTAAGAATTATTGTTAATTTTGTTAGGAGTGATGGCAGTACTACAATTATGAGGGGAAATACTTCAGGGCATGCTGAGGTATTAGGGTAATTAAATGTTATGACATTTATAATTTTCTTTCAAATGGTCCATCAAAAATTAAATATACATATATGAAGCAATTTTGGGAAAATGTTAATAATGGTTGAGTCTGTGGGTCACCTGGATGACTCAGTCGCTTAAATGTCTGACTCTTGATTTTGGCTCAGGTCATGATCACAGGGTCATGAAATAGAGCCCCATGTCAGGCTCTGAACTGACAGTAGAGCCTGGTTAAGATTCTCTATCCCTTAGCCCCTCCCCCAACTCACATATGTGTGTGTGTGCTCTCTCTCTCTCTCTCAAAAAAGAAAAATAACTCTTGAGTCTAGGTAAAGGTTATATGAATGTTTCTCTCTCTCTCTCTCTCACTCTCTCTCTCTTTTTTTTTTAATTCATGACACACACACACACACACACACACACACACAGAGGCAGAGACACAAGCAGAGGGAGAAGCAGGCTCCATGCAGGGAGCCCAACGTGGGACTCGATTCCAGGTCTCCAGGATCAGGCCCTGGGCTGCAGGTGGCGCTAAACCTCTGAGCTACCCAGGCTGCCGTATATGAATGTTTCTTACATTATTTTTTCACTTTTGTGTGTGTTTGAAATTTTTTATAACAAAGTTACAGGAAGTATTTCTTTCTTATTAGGTGTCAACATTCCAGTGGAAGGTAACTTTTAGAGCCAGATCATTTTGATTCCTGTTTAATTGATTTCACATAGTAGCATAATGAATATATTGGTTCAGTGGACTGGTGAGTAAATTATTCCTAAGGATAAAATTTAATTAAGTCTTTAATAAGTATTTATACATTCATTATTTCACTCAGCAAACATAATGCAATGCACAGATTCTGCATTTCTCAGTGAGAAGTGTTTTGACCACAATATATAACTTTTAGTGATTTAGAGGAAATTGTCAAATATCTACTAATATTTAATGCATTAATTTAATTTACACATAAATATTTAGAATGATATATAAAATCATGTCAATTAGAGTGGTGTTTTTACTACAACACAGTTTTTGAGAACATGTCACCTTCCTTTCCTCTATGTTGTCAGAGCTGCAATATTTTGGAAATCTCTATGTGACTTAATCACTGGAAGTGTTATCCCAAGCCACAAAATATATGACAATAAAAAAAAATACATCTGTAGGTGAGTATTTCTTTTGTCTACATCACTGGTTTTTAAATTATTTTTTAAAAAGCCTTTTTATAATGGCATTGAACACTTGAATTATTTAGTCAAAACCCCATGAGATATTATTAAATTTAATAAAATTTAATTTTAATAAAAATTCCTTGCCTCCTTATTTATGCATACCATCAGGTTACTTCTCTAGATACTCTGAACTAATGTGAATGGATGTTACTCTTGTCTCATATGACTTCCTCCAACATTACCTGGTGGTCTCAAATAATGAAAGTGAGAGAGCATTGGTTAATATCAGGTCTTGAATGAGAGTTTATAACCAATACCTCATATTTGGGATTATAGGGCATTCAGTATGTGCCTACAGTGAGCTGCCTATGTGTTTGATTTTGGGGGCTCAAAGATGAACAAAACAGACTGAGTCCCATCCTGATTTCTTGACCTATTTCCTACTATGTCCTCACACCTGTCCTGTAGGTCTGATGGACACCTGATCTTACTATTCTAGTGCCAGCTTTGGCTCCTTTCCTTGGCTTTGTTCTGTGCTTAATCTTTGGACTGCATCTGTGTCCTGCATTCCAAGTGACCTCCTGACCCCATTAGGAACCATCTCCTGGCTCCTTCCACATCATGGGGACACATCATTGACTTCCTTCTTTCCTCTATTTGTCAGATTCCAGAAAAAGGGACTGAGATATTCATGAAGGAAGATTTGATGAATTTTTATGAATGATTAGGTACAAGATCAAGGATGAGAAAAATGGAGTATCTGGGATGCCTGTGTGGCTTGGTGGCTGGGCGTCTGCCTTTGGCTCAGGGTGTGATCCCGGGGTCCTGGGATCGATGAGGCTTGGTTTGAGCCATGGTTGAAGGTGAATGTGATAAAGGGCAAATTATAAAGAGAGTATAACAGTAGGTTTGAGACAGAATTTGGGGACGCACGGCTTTTAAGGGCACCATAGAGGAAGAAGAGTGAGTGAAAGGGGCCCAATACAGGTGATTTCTGGAAACATGATTAACGGTTTTGGTTGACTTAGAAGATGGCTAAGTTATGCAGCCACATGCAAAGGGATAAACTTCTAAGCCAACCTGTGAAGGGTAGGAGAAGATTTTCCCTTTTGGGAGGCCTTAAATCCATTTCTGAGCTCTATATGTGGCCAAATCAAGCAGCACATTTCCCCTGAAATCCATGGGAACTTTCTGCTTGAATTGGCTCTGAGATAAACCTGCACTGCAGAACAGTCTACCTAGATGCAAATAACACTCACAGTTGAGTGCACAGCCTTGGCTTGTATAACTAGGGTTTGTTTTTGTTTTTTGTTTTTTTTTGCCCCTGTGACTTATTCTTGAAGAAAGTTATAATACAAAGGAGAAATTTTCAACAACGTCCATCAGTTCAAACCAATATCTACTTTCTCTCACATAACTTGATTTATTTATTTTCATTTAATTTAATATTATTTTATTTGGCAGAGAGAAAATGAGATACCTTGATGGAGAATAAAGTTATCTGGAAATACATAGGTCTTTCTTAACAGTTGGATAGTGACTCATTTACTACATCCCTTTATTTAAAATTAAAATCCATCATACTCCTTGGGAAAGAATTCTCAATCTGGGGTTGGATAGTTATTCTGAAATATGAGATTTTTGTCTTTTTAAAGTAAATGAAGCATTAAAATCTTGCTTATTAATAAGTTTGCTGGCCAAAGACTGACATAGCATGGTAACCCATGATGTACTTTCTTTCTCTGTTCTACCTTTTCTTTCACAGCCCTGAAAATAAACAGATCCTGAGCAACCTAGCCTACAATGCCTGCTCAATTGCAACACTGTGACACTCTGAGGTTTGTTCACTTCCTACATTCCTGTCATATCTGGAAATAAACAGGATGTTGGGCCATGCTGGGAAGACTCACTTTACAGATAATGAGTCTTCTATTCAAATTAGCAGGTCTTTCGCTGCCCACCTATTTTAGACAGTCCAATGCTAACATTAGAGGGGATATGAAAGCAGCAAATACAGTCCCTTTCTCCCAGAATTGATAACGTTATGATGCATGTGAGAGGTGAGGTGGGGGTAGGAAGGGGAGTGAGCAGAAAGTAAACACCATAAGGATGCCACAAATGGAGGGACCATATCACGCTGGGTGATCAGGAGTGGCTTCCTGAAGGAGGTGGAATTTGAACCCAGTCCTGACGAGCTGGATGGTGGAGAGTCCTTGAGCAGCCATAAGACTGCCTGGGTTCAAATCTTGGCACTTCCATTTGCCAACTGGATGACCTTGTGCAAGTTCCTTAATTTCTCTTGCCCTCAAGGTTACAATGGAGCTAAAAGGTTGTTTTTTTTTTAAGATATATTTATTTATTTGAGAGAGAGAGAGAGAGAGAGAGAGCGAGACAGCAAGCATGAGTGGGGGGAAGGGCAGAGAGAGAGAATCTCCAGCAGCCTTATCACAGAGTGCGGAACTCAACATCACAGGGCTCCATCTCATGACCCTGAGATCATGACCTGAGCCGAAATCAAGAGTCAGATGCTCAACCAACTCAGCCACCCAGGTGCCCTAAAGGCTATTTTGAAAATTAAATGAGATAATATATGCAAAGTACCTGCCACAGAGTAAGTACTCATGAAACGTTATGATTTTCAAGAAATCTTGTGAATTGAGAAGACAGATAAAACTGTTAGACTAAAATATTTGGGAAGAAAGGGGAAGAATATGTATGGAGCCCCAGCCAGGACCTACACATAAGGAGAAGCAGAAGGAAGAAAATACACTGGGACAGAGCAGGTGTAAGGGAGAAAGTGGTGGGAGGTTCAAGGGAGAGGAGAGGTAGGGGGTTGGGACACTGGAGCTGAAGAAGACCATTATTTATGAGACACTCACAAGGAAACTTCAGCAAGTGATTTTATCCACCTTTTTTCCCCAGTGGTCTTATGGACACTAGGATTTAAGGAGAAAGGGAGCATGGAGACAATGGGCTTAGGAGTGGTGACTGCTCACTGAAGAAGTGTGGTGCGGAAGGATGGGACAGATAGGAGGTGGTGGCTTTAGGTACTAATAATGTGGGGAGCTGCTGCTCTATGAATAAAGAAAATAGCATATTTAGGAATTGAAAAAAGTACCCAATAGATTAAAGACAACTGGAGATAAAAGGAAGAGATGGTATAATTGCCAGGACAGTTGCCATCCCCTGAGGGGATGGGAGGAAGAGCACATGTGACTATTTTGACCAGAAGGACATTGACAGTCTCAGTAGCAATTTTCCCTCCAGAATTTTGGGGGGGAAAAAACATATATATATATATTTTTTTTTTTTGGCAAAAATACATGGCAAAAAGGGAAATAAATGGCAAACCCTTTTAATGGCAAAAAACCATTGCAGGCTTTTGTTCTGCCCTAGTACTTGGAGTGGGATAAAAAGGGATGAATAAATCTGGACTCAAGTTAATTCTGTAGATTAACCACCTACTCACAAGCAAGCTTTTATTTTCAGACTGAGGCAGCTGTGGAACATGGCGCATTCCATTGTACTGCTGGGTTGGTCCATGGAAAAGAAGAGCCAAGATGAAGATGAAGAGACTGTCAGGTTTTGGTCACTACAAGGGTAGGAAGTCTGGGAATAAAATAGTCTTTGGGCTGACAAAATGATGAGGGGAACTTAGAGCACTGGGGATAAGGAGAGGACCATCTTCCTCTCTGAAGTGGAATGTATGCAGAATTTTCCACAGTATAAGAGTTGGGTAGACCTCCTCTGAGGTCTCCTGGGTATAACACAAACTTCCAAGGATACTGGCATTTTGGGAATGAGTATCTACCTACCGTGTAGTTGCTGGGTTTTGAGCAGAGAAAGAGAACCATTGTGAATACTCTTGAATAAGAGACTTATTCTAGAGATTAGGCTGTACTCAAATGTGGGAGTTGGTTAAAAATCTATGGAAGGGGAGACCATTTCCACAATAGTACCATGAAGAGCTTCCATGGATCTTCCTGACAATAAAACAAACTTAACTGATGAAAATACAATGATTTAAAGTATCTGGAAATTATCTTAAGGACATACAGCAAATGAAGAAACATTTATTTATTGCATGTGTGTGTGTGTATAGCTAGTGTATATACATATATATATATGTATATTTTAAATTATCACCCCTATGGTAGTAAAATTCAAAGCAGCTCTTTCTTCAGTAGAATTCTTACTTTTACTCTAAAATACTTGAGTGTCTTATTGATTCCCAAGTTGCATTTATTTCCCTTTTAAATACCTTGGAATGTCACTTATACAAATGATACAGCCCCAAAGTTCATGAAGGTGGAATGATACAAGAATGATGAGAGTAAGGGGGCAGGGCAAAATGGCAGAAGAGTAGGGTCCCCAAGTCACCTGTCCCCACCAACTTACCTAGATAACTTTCAAATCATCCTGAAAACCTACGAATTCAGCCCGAGATTTAAAGAGGGAACAGCTGGAATGCTACAAAGAGAAGAGTTTGCACTTGTAACAAGCTAGGAAGGTGGAAAAATAAAAAATAAAAAAGAATCCAGTGGGGGGGGGGTCCCCACGAGGAGCCAGGCTAAGGCCCTGTGGCAAGAGCCTCCAGGACAGGAAAGCCCAGGCCCGGAGAAGCAGGAACTTTAACAATCTTCCCGGATGGAAAGGCACTCGCAGGGAACTCGGGCAGGATCCTAGGAGGAGCAGTGGAGCCTCCAGTCTCCTGGGGTCACTAACAGAGGAAGTGTGCCCCAGGGGAGAGCGCGCCACACACCATGGGCTAAGCGCGGTTAAGGGCTGGAGCGTGTACCCAGCAGGGCCTTGGGAGCAGCTCAGGCGGTGGCTCCGGGTGGAGGGGGCTGCAGCCCCCAGAGCGATTCCAACGTTGCAGGCCCCAGATCCCAGGGCGCTGGGGGACTCAGCCCAGGATCCTGTGCTACCCTCAGGGACAGGCGGAGGCTGGGAGTGCACAAGACAGTGAGGACACTCCTGCCACCGGGCACCCTGAGCTGTGCAGGTCAGCGTTCCCCAACCCCAGGAGCATCCAGGCCAGTGTGGATTGGGAGACTGTAGTAGTTACTGGGGGAGCTGACTCCAGGGCTGGGGAGCTGGCCAACACAACTGTTGTTGTTCCTCCTGGTGTCACCCTGTGCCTGGGAGGGTTGGGGCTGCCAGGGAACAGAGGTCCTACAGGATAAACAGCTCCCACTGAGCCCAGCACCTGGCAGGGTGCACACACCTGAGAATCAGCACAGCAGGCCCCTCCCTCAGAAGACCAGCTGGAAGGACAGGAGAAGAGCAAGTTCTTGATGGAGCAGTGCTGGAAAGCTCCAGGGGAAGTCGAGGGATTTACAGTATATAGAACCAGGGATCCCTGGGTGGCGCAGCGGTTTGGCGCCTGCCTTTGGCCCAGGGCGCGATCCTGGAGACCCAGGATCGAATCCCATATCGGGCTCCGGTGCATGGAGCCTGCTTCTCCCTCTGCCTGTGTCTCTGCCTCTCTCTCTCTCTCTCTGTGACTATCATAAAAAAAAAAAAAAAAAGAACCAGAGGTTATCCCTCCTTTTTTGTTGTTGTTGTTGTTGTTGTTTTCTTTGTTTGTTTGTTTGTTTCCCTTTTTTTCTTTCCTTTTTCCAGTACAACTTGTTTAGCCACTCTGTACTGAGCAGAAATGACTAGAAAGAACTCACCACAAAAGAAAGAATCAGAAATAGTACTGTCTCCCACAGAGTTAACAAAATTTGGATTACAATTCGATGTCAGAAAGCCAATTCAGAAGCACAATTATAAAGCTACTGGTGGCTCTGGAAAAGAAGCATAAAGATTCAAGAGACTTCATGACTGCAGAATATAGATCTAATCAGGCTGAAATTAAAAATCAATTAAATGAGATGCAATCCAAACTGGAGGTCCTAATGATAAGGGTTAATGAAGTAGAAGAATGAGTGAGTGACATAGAAGACAAGTTGATGGCAAGGAAGAAAGCTGAGGAAAAAAGAGAAAAACAATTAAAAGATCATGAGGAAAGGTTAAGGGAAATAAATGACAGCATCAGAAGGAAAAATCTATGTTTAATTGGGGTTCCAGAGGGCACCGAAAGAGACAGAGGACCAGAAAGTGTATTTGAACAAATCATAGCTGAAAACTTCCCTAACTTGGGGAGGGAAACAGGCATTCAGATCTAGGAGATAGAGAGACCCCCCCTCCTAAAATCAATGAAAACCGTTCAACACTGCAACATTTAATAGTGAAACTTGAAAATTCCAAAGATAAAGAGAAAATCCATAAAGCAGCAAGAGACAAGAGATCCCTAACTTGTATGGGAAAAAGTATTAGATTAATAGCAGACCTCTCCATAGAGACTTGGCAGGCCAGAAAGGGCTGGCAGGATATATTCAGAGTCCTAAATGAGAAGAACCTGCAGCCAAGAATACTTTATCCCGCAAGGTTCTCATTCAGAATAGAGGGAGAGATAAAGAGGTTCCAAGATAGGCAGAAACTGAAAGAATATGTGACCACCAAACCATCTCTGCAAGAAATATTAAGGGGGGGCTCTGTAAAAGAAAGAGGAAGTCCAAAGAAACAATCGACAAATACAGGAACTGAATAGGTATTATGATAATACTAAATTCATATCTTTCAATAGTGACTCTGAATGTGAATGGGCTTAATGACCCCATCAAAAGACGGAGGGTTTCAGACTGGATAAAAAAGCAAGACCCATCTATTTGCTGTCTACAAGAGACTCATTTTAGACCTAAGGACACCTCCAGCCTGAAAATAAAAGGTTGGAGAACCATTCACCATTCAAACGGTCCTCAAAAGAAAGCAGGGGTAGCCATCCTAATATCAGATAAATTAAAATTTATACCAAAGACTGTAGTAAGAGATGAAGAGGGACACTATATCATATTTAAAGGATTTATCCAACAAGAGGACCTAACAATCATGAATATTTATGCCCCTAATGTGGGAGCTTTCAAGTATATCAATTAATAACCAAAGTTAAGATATACTTAGATAATAATACACTTATACTGGGAGACTTTAACACCGGCGCTTTCTACAAATGACAGATATTCTAAGCACAACATCTCCAAAGAAACGAGAGTTTTAAATGATACACTGGACCAGATGGATTTCACAGATATTTACAGAACTTTACATCCAAAGGCAACACATTCTTCTCAAGTGCACATGGAACTTTCTCCAGAATAGACCACATACTGGGTCACAAATCAGGTCTTACCAATACCAAAAGATTGGGATTGGCCCCTGCATATTTTCAGACCATAATGCTTTGAAACTAGAACTCAATCACAAGAGGAAATTTGGAAGAAATTCAAACACGTGGAGGTTAAAGAGTATCCCGCTAAAAGATGAAAGGGTCAACCAGGAAATTAGGAAGAATTAAAAAGATTCATGGAACGCCGGGACACCTGCACCCCAATGTTTATAGCAGCAATGTCCACAATAGCCAAACTGTGGAAGGAGCCTCGGTGTCCATCGAAAGATGAATGGATAAAGAAGATGTGGTCCATGTATACAATGGAGTATTACTCAGCCATTAGAAATGACAAATACCCACGATTTGCTTCAACATGGATGGAACTGGAGGGTATTATGCTGAGTGAAATGAGTCAATCAGAGAAGGACAAACATTATATGTTCTCATTCATTTGGGGAATATAAATAATAGTGAAAGGGAATAGAAGGGAAGGGAGAGGAAATGGGTGGGAAATGTCAGAAAGGGAGACAGAACATAAAGACTCCTAACTCTGGGAAACGAACTAGGGGTGGTGGAAAGGAAGGAGGGCAGGGGGTGGGGGTGAATGGGCGATGGGCACTGAGGGGGGCACTTGACGGGATGAGCACTGGGTTATCTGTGTTATTCTGTATGTTGGCAAATTGAACACCAATAAAAATAAATTTATTATTAAAAAAATAAAGATCATCACATGGATTTTTAGACCAGATTAAAAAAATAATAAAAATAAAAAGATTCATGGAAACTAATGAGAATGAAGATACAATGGTTCAAAATCTTTGGGACACACCAAAAGCAGTCCTGAGAGGGAAATACATCACAATACAAGCCTCCCTTGAAAAACTGGAAAAAACTCTATACAAAAGCTAAACTTGCACCTAAAGAAACTGGAGAAAGAACAGCAAATAAAACCTACACTAAGCAGAAGAAGAGAGTTAATAAAGATTCGAGCAGAACTCAGTGAAATAGAGACCAGAAGAACTGTAGAACAAATCAACAAAACCAGGAGTTGGTTCTTTGAAAGAATAAATCAGATAGAGAAACCATTAGCCAGCCTTCTTAAAAACAAAAGAGAAAAGTCTCAAATTAATAAAATCACGAATGAAAAAGGAGAGATCACCACCAACACCAAGGAAATACAAACAATTTTAAAAACATATTACGAGCAGCTATACACCAATAAATTAGACAATCTAGAACAAATGGATGCATTTCTGGAAAACCACAAACTACCAAAACTGGAACAGGAGGAAATAGAAAACCTGAACAGGCTGATAACCAGGGAGGAAATTGAAGCAGTCATTAAAAACCTCCCAAGACACAAAAGTCCAGGGCCAGGTGGCTTCCCAGGGGAATTCTATCAAACACTTAAAGAAGAAACCATATCTATTCTACTAAAGCTGTTCCGAAAGACAGAAAGAGATGGGATACTTACAAACTTGTTCTATGAGGCCAGCATCACCTTAATTCCAAAAGCAGACAAAGACCCCACCAAAAAGAAGAATTATACACCAATATCCCCAATGAACACAGATGCAAAAATTCTCAATAAGATACTAGCTCATAGGATCCAACAATACATTAAGAAGATGATTCACCATGACCAAGTGGGATTTATCCCCGGGATGCAAGGCTGGTTCAACACTCGTAATCAATGTGATAGATCATAACAACGAGAGAAAAAGCAAGAACCATATGATCCTCTCAATAGATGCAGAGAAAGCATTTGACAAAATACAGCATCCATTCCTGATCAAAACTCTTCAGAGTGTAGGCATAGAGGGAACATTCCCCAGCATCTTAAAAGCCATCTACACAAAGCTCACAGCAAACATCATTCTCAATGGGGAAACACTGGGAGCCTTTCCCCTAAGATCAGGAACACGACAGGAATATCCACTCTCACCACTGCTATTCAACATAGTACTAGAAGTCCTTGCCTCAGCAATCAGGCAACAAAAAGATATAAAGGCTCATATTGGCAAAGAAGTCAAACTCTCCCTCTTTGCCGATGACATGATACTGTACATAGAAAACCCAAAGACTCCACCCCAAGATTGCTAGAACTCATACAGCAATTCATCAGAGTGGCAGGATACAAAATCAATGCCCAGAAATCAGTGGCATTTCTATACACTAGCAATGAGACTGAAGAAAGAGAAATTAAGGAGTCAATCCCATTTACAATTGCACCCAAAAACATAAGATACCTAGGAATAAACCTAACCAAAGAGGTAAAGGATCTATACCCTAAAAACTACAGAACACTTCTAAAAGAAATTGAGGAAGACACAAAGAGATGGAAAAATATTCCATGCTCATGGGTTGGCAGAATTAATATTGTGAAAATGTCAATGCTACCCAGGGCAATTTACACATTCAATGCAATCTCTATCAAAATACCATGGACTTTCTTCAGAGAGTTGGAACAAATCATGTTAAGATATTTGTGGAATCAGAAAAGGCCCCCAATAGCCAGGGGAATATTAAAAAAGAAAACCAGAGCCGGGGGCATCACAATGCCGGATTTCAGGTTGTACTACAAAGCTGTGATCATCAAGACTATGGTACTGGCACAAAAACAGACACATAGATCAATGGAACAGAATAGAGAATCCAGAAATGGGCCCTCAACTCTATGGTCAACTAATATTCGACAAAGCAGGAAAGACTATCCACTGGAAAAAGGACAGTCTCTTCAATAAATGGTGCTGGGAAAATTGGACAGCCACATGCAGAAGAAGGAAACTAGACCATTCTCTTACACTATACACTATACACTCAAAATGGATGAAAGATCTAAATGTGAGACAAGAATCCACCAAAATCCTAGAGGGGAACACAGGAAACACCCTTTTTGAACTTGGCCACAGCAACTTCTTGCAAGATACATCTATGAAGGCAAGGGAAACAAAAGCAAAAATGAATTATTGGGACTTCATCAAGATACAAAGCTTCTGCACAGCAAAAGAAACAGTCCACAAAACTAAAAGACAACCTACAGAATGGGAGAAGGTATTTGCAAATGACCTATCAGATAAAGGGCTAGTATCCAAGATCTATGAAGAACTTA